CACACCATCGTGGCTGAGCTGGTATCCTCCTTTTTTTTTTTTTTTTTTAAAAAGAGATTTTTGCTGTAGGGCACGTGCGCTCACCAGAAAGACAGAGAAAGACAGAGAGACAGAATGTGAGAAATCACCCCCCAGGGAGGATGGCCACGCTGCAATCCCTTTGCCTCCACTCTCCTCTCAGGATCTTGGGCATGCACGCACCCGCGCCCGGCATGAATTTAAGCGACAGGGTCCGGGACTCAACTACATGGGAGTCCAGCGACAAAGCCATTATGCCAACTGCAGGTCCTAATATCCTCCTTTTATGATAGTTTTTTTTACAAGTTCACACTTTTCTACCCTGAAATGAAACAATATAGGTAGATAACATAACCTCCCAATCCACATAATTGCAGTGGAGGCAATTAAGGTAGTGCCATCAACCATAACATGAAAGAAAAAAAAGAGATACTTCCAGAGTCTTTTTTTTTTTTTTTTGGGGGAGTTTTTTTTTTTTTTTTTTTTTTTGCTATAGGGTGCGTGAGCTCACCAGACAGAGAGATAGAAAGCGAGAAATCACCCCCTGGGGGGATGGCCACGCCGCAATCCCTTTTCCTCTGTTCTCCTCCCAGGATTTTGGACAGGCATATACATGTGCCCAGCATGATTTTCTAAGCCTCCAGGTCCAGAACTTGAACCACAGCCAACCACGTGGGAGTCCAGCACTTTTACCACCTGGTACCTGCTGGCCTCTATGATGTGTTTTTAATTTCCTCTTTTTATGTTTTATTTTTTGGCCAAAAGTCTCCAGTTTGAAATCTACTAATTAACCCTTAAACTGTTTACTTCTTTATGGGACTTGAACCATGGGTTAGCCATGTGGGAATCCAGCGCCCTTATCCACCACACCACCTCCTGGCCCCAGCCCCAGAGTCTTTTTTATTGGCCACTTACAGATACAACATTAGCTGTTTTCACCAGAAATTCTGCTTTTCCTTCTGCTGCCCCTTCCCATGTGTCTTCCAACTCTGCAGCCATGGCTCACACCCAAGAACACAAAGAAAACAAAGAAAAACCCTGAAGAGACAAGCAGGCGCATTAGATCCCTTTCGACAGTGCAGACACTCAGCAGCAGCCACAGCCAGCTGCAGGTCATGAGAAACCGAGTCAGCCCTATGGGATCCAGCGCCGCGTCCCCCACCCCTTAACTCCCACCTCTTACCCCGATCTTCCAGGACAGGAAGAAACAAGGCCAGAACTCAGCCTTGCTTGAGGGTGTCTGAAACCAGCCCCACAGTGTAGCCAGGCTACACCACCAGAGGCCAGCTTCATTATTTCTTTTCCTTCTTTTACAGCCACCAAGAGCAGGGTTCAGATCCTATAGAAAAGAAAAACAGAGGGTTAAAAGAAAATATCTTTTTAATATAATACATCTTTTTTTTAAATTTAATTTACTTATTTTTCTTTTTTTGGAGAGGTTTTGCTATGGGGCGTGTGCACTCACCAGAGAGACAGAGAGACAGAAAGCCAGAAATCACCCCCGAGGAGATGGCCACGCCACAATCCCTTCTCCTCCATTCTCCTCTCAGGATCTTGGGCACGCACACACACGCACCTGGCGTGAGTTTAAGCCACTGGGTCCAAGACTTGAATCATGATTGACTACATGGGAGTCCAGCGACATAGCCATTAGGCTAACTGCTGGTCCCAATATAATACATCTTTTAATATGTAAATTATTGGGCATGACTGTACTATGAGACCTGCTACGGCCATCAAATGCTTTTACCTATTTGAGAAGCAGCCATGAATACATAAGCAATAAATGCTGACTTAGTGTGTGTATGTGGGGGGGGTCAAGGGGTATATTATGTTGGTAATTATAAACACTCCAAAACCATGAGCAGTATTGTTATCAGTGACTCAAAATTTCACAGTGTCTAATCTTCTCTCAAGTCATATAGTAGTTGTATTTCCAGAAAGTTCAATGTTTATTAAAGCTGCATTTAAAAAACACAGCAAAATACATGGGGCCAGCAGGTAGCATAATGGTTGGGGCACTGGACTCCCACATGACCAACCGCAGATCGAGTCCTGGACCTGGCAGCTTAAAACTCACACCAGGCACATGTGTGTGCATGCCCAAAATCCCAAGGAAAAGGGATTGTGACTTGGCCATCTTACCCAGGGGGTGCTTTCTCACTTTCTCTCTCTCTCTGTGTCTCCAGTGAGCACACACATCCTATAGCAAAAATCTCTCTCTTAAAAAAAAAAGCAAAACATAGAGTTAGGTCCCAGGTAAATAAAGTTTATACTTACAAGAGTGTGTAGCTAAACTTCCAGAAAGTTGTGCAAGATCAGAGAAAGTTCCCCTTTATATAGAAATCATCTGTAAAGTTACAGCTTATTTGGCACTCCCATCAATGCCATCAATGCAGATATCACCATCTAATCAGTTATTGTGACAACTGAAAAATTGTCCCCACAGATTTCCAAAGCTTCTCTGAAGGAAAGCATTCATTTGGGGTTTTTTTAAGTTCTTTTGAGACTCTTGGCATACTGTTTCAACTATTTTGATTACCTTCTTTCATCAGTTCTAAAACCCACTTTTTTTCACATTATAACATCTCCAAAATTGTCTTAAAATAGATGTGATATTGGGGCCGGCAGGTGATGTGGTGGTTAAGGGTGCTGGACTCCCAAATGGCCAACTACGGTTCAAGTCCTGGACCTGGTGGCTTGCTTTCTCACTTTTTCTCTCTCTCTTTCTCTCTGTCTCTCTTGTTCTGTCCTTCTCTGGTCAAATTAAAGTAATAAATAAATAAAGTTAAATAAAATAATTCTTTAAAAAAAATAGATGTGATATGAAAATATTGAGCCAAGGGCCAACAGGTAGTGTTGTGGTTCAAGTGTTGGACTCCCACATGGCCGATCACGGTTCAAGTCCCAGACCTGATGGCTTGCTGTCTCATTTTCTCTCTCTCTCTCTGGTTAAATTCTTTAAAAAATAGTAATAATAATAAAATAATTATTTTAAAAATATGTTAAGCTATTGTTTAATTGGCACCAAGTTTTTTTTTCTTTTTTTTTAATAGACAAATTAAATTGCCAACTGGACTGGGGAGAAATGGCATCATTTTTCTTAATTGCCAGAGGGCTTATATGCTCACTGGAAAGAGATAGAGAGATATAGAGGGAGATGGAAGAAACACCTCTCAGTGGTCATGCCACAGTCCCCACTCCATTTCTCCATTCTGTATGGATTTGGGGCAAGCACACACACATACTCCATGTGTTTGCCAAGCTGCTAGGACCACGATCCAAATCAGTCAGCCATCTGGGTTCTGGCTCCTTGACCACTAGGCCGTGAGATCAATCCTACTGGAATCATTTTTGGTCCATAAAATAATAGTGCATCTTAATATTAATGGTATTATAGATTTGACAAGACGCAATAAACTTACACTTGGAACTTAAATTTTTTATTTCTATAAGTGAAAACAGAACTAAAGAATGGATTGAAGGATTATAGCTCCATAGCCAGGTGTTCGGGGAAGCCAAATCCCACATGGCAACAATGGTTTTTGAGTCCTAGTTCTGGTGGCTTGAGGGGACACACTGGACACATGTTCATGCCTGCACAAAAACCCCAACAAGATAGAGAAATAGAAGAGAAGGGATTATGGCATGACCACACCATGTCGAGGGGGGTGTTTTCTCTCCCTTTCTCTCTATGTCTCTCTAATGAGCACATGTACTCTTCGGCAATTCAGAAACAAAAACAAAAAAGAATGGACTGGAAGGACACTATAGAAAAAGAATACACTGTGTTTGGTCATTGAAAGGTGAGGGCAGCTGTGCAAATGGAGGGGTTTGTTTTGTTTCCATGGTGTACCTAAGAGTGCATAATATGAAAATTAATTCAATTCTGTCCTTTTCAGACTATTGCTTATGAAAGAACAGCTACCTAGAATACCAGCAGTGTATAAGGTTATAACCAGAAAGGCTTTTCTGTGCCAGACTTTTGTCTAATTTGTGGGTACATGTTCCGCGGACATCGTTTATAAAGGTTCGGATTCATTAAAGCAGAGAGTGACAAAAGGCAAAGTTTTATGCAGGAAGTATTTTCACCCTGAGAATCCCAGGTGTAGACTGCATTCCTTCTTTCTGAAAAGCATGGTCTTGAACTTGGGGATCGAGTGGGAGATTCAGAACAACTCAGCAACCCATCCTACTGCCAGAAACAACTTGAATAGGATTTCCTGGCTGTGGCCTTTACCAGAGACAGTCAGCTGGAAGAAGAAACAGTCACCTTCAGTTGTTCTTGGCCTTTTTGAGGAGGAGTTTAATTTAGTGGAAAGATTATTAAAACTGAGTACTCAAAAGGACTGGTCTACTGAGTCTACCTGCCATCAGAAGTGCTGTCAGAGGTAAACAGCATTGAAAATATACCTTTTCATTTCTCACCTCTGTGGCTCAGTTATGGACAGGTCAGAAGGCAGAGCACTGAAAACTAAGGAGGCCTAGTTCTAGGAAGGAGGCCCTCATGTCCATAATGGCAGGTATGAGGTGAACTCACAGCTCTAGTAGATGGTGGGGGGGGGTCTTCTGGGGGAGTGATAAGAATTATTATTTTTAAATTTGCCACAGGGCATCTGCTCTTACCAGAGAGAGAGAGAAAGAGAGAGATGGAAGGAAAGTGAGAAAGCAAGCTGCCACTCTAGGACTCAAACCATGGTAGGCCAGGTAAGGATCCAGCACCTCAACCAGCATGCCACCCACTGCCCCTAGATGGTGGTTTTTGACAAATCTTTCCTCACCTGTGCATCTTAGAAGCTAAATCAGAAGAAAGTTGTCTCACGAACAATAACTCTTAGGACAGTGTGTACAGTTACTATAGAGTAGAAAAAGGTGATTTCTCAGGTGCAGAATTACTTAATGAGATTGGGCAACTCACCTTGCTTAGGAGTCTTTTTCTTATGAGTAGGATGTAGATCAGTATCTTGTCTCATTTATTTCAGACAGACGCCTTGGGGAAACACCCTCTAAGCAGAGGATTCACTAAGAACAAGGTAAGTTCCTAGTTAAACATAGAGATCCGAGTTTGAAGTCATGGGACATCTGTAAAAAGAGGCAGCAAATTTGAATGTATTTACTGTGGTTCAGTGATTTTGTATGAAGTGATTTTTCCAGTTGTAGAGATGAGAAATATTTCTAGGAATTTTTATGTACCAGACCTGACCCACCCCCAGTGTAAGTGTGGGTGCTTGGAGTATCAGAGGAAGCATGTGACAGCCTTTATTTCCACAGGGAGTTTTTAAAAAATCAAATAAAAGCATATTTAGTTTCTGACTTAATTTGCAAATAAGGAGCCACCTATGGTAGGATAGCAGTTACATTGAAAAAAACAATCAGGGGACTAGCAGATGGCGTAATGGTTACGTCACAGGACTCCCATGTAGTCAACGGTAATTCAAATCCTAGACCAAGAGGCTTAAAAGTCACACCGGGTGCGTGTGCATGCATGCCCAAAATCCTGAGAGGAGAATGGAGGAGAAAGGATTGTGGCGTGGCCATGCCCTCCTGGGGAAGTGATTTCTCATGTTCTGTCTTTCTGTCTCTTAGGTGAGCACACATGCCCTATAGCAAAAATCTCTCAAAAAAAAGAAAGAAAGAAAGAAAAGAAAAGAACAGAACAACCCAGGCTTTCTCTTCTTAACAGGAGTAAGAGTCCTGCAGAGTGGTTTAGGGCTCGTTGGTGACAGTGGAGCATTTAGGAAGTACATGGTAACCTAATAGATACTCTCCAGGAATAGAACTGTGAGAACCTGCGTGGGCTTGGGTGCACTTTCTCTGAGCATGCAGACTTTCTTACACTCATTCTCTGCTTTTTGAAGATCTATTTCACCGTCCTGACACGTTTCTGACAGGTTTAGAGACAGAGTTCAGCTGTTCAGGGTTTTTAACTGTAGGTATTAATTGTTTTGTTTTGTTTTGTTTTCTCTTTCAAGACTCTCAGTTCAATCTTTAACATTGAGATGGTGAAAGACAAAACAGCAGAAGAAATAAAACAGGTAATAAATGAAAACAGGTTGGCATGCTCTGTGAAAATATGTGTTCTGTGAACCAAATCTGAAAGTAGAAAGCAGCATCCATTTTCTGACACCTCTTTGTCGCCAAAATGAAAAGTAGTGGTTTCAGCAAAAGCAATGACTTACGTGAAGGACAGTGGCATTAGAAAGCTTGTCTTTCTTGGTCTCACTCTAGTAAGTCTAATCAATGCATGTTTTCCCATTCTTTTTTCATTTCTATAGCCCACATCTTATCTACAGTCATCAGTTCTCTGTCCCTGGATTACTGCACTGCCTTCCCAGATAGGTTTCTGTGCGCTCATTTCTCCCACTCCGTCACTTGGATCCTCTTGAAGTTTTGCTTTCAGATAAGAAGTATAGAATACTGGCTAAGAACACAGACTGTGGAACCAGGCTGCCAGTTTTCAGTCCTAGCTCTGGCCACATACTAGCTGTATGACTCAGACAAGTTAGTTAATGTCTCAGGGCCTTAGTTTCTCTCCTGTAAAATGGAGATAATAATACTTACTTCAAAGAGTTATTTGGAGAATTAAATGAGAACATTTGTAAAGCACTTAAAACAGTACTTGGCACAGAGTGAGTGCTGTATTTATGTTTTTAAATAAATGAGCAAAAATAATGTAAGAAGCCTATTTGCAAATGTTTGGTGACTTCCTTTATTTCTTGTCTTAGCATTCAAAGTCTTCTGTTATTACAGGGCCTTCTGCAGAAAGCTCCTCTCAGTGCGTTCAAAGTCTGTCCTGCCTGTTTGGTCCTGACATGCACCTTGATTTACATTGCTGTTTACACTTTCACGTCTGTGATTCTTTCCTCTCTGGTTAGACTATAATGAGTATTTTCTTCCATGCATTGCATTTTAGGTATACAGAGAGGATCAGAACAGTAATAAAAGCAGCATGCTTTACATCAGGTACTATGCCTAGTGCTTCGTAGGCTTATTTCACTAAGTTCTCATAACTGCCCCATATAGATGCTGTTATTCCTAATGTACAGTTGAGGAAACTGTGACTTAAAGAGATGAAGAAACTTTGTCAGTGGTAGAGCTAAGACTCAAACCTGTGTCCGTTTGACTGTGTATCTTCCTCACAGTAAGTTGTGCCAGTTGCCATGGGCTTCCTTCAGGTGCCGTGTTATTTATTTTAGCAAGCTTTTATCGAATACCCATTAAATGGCAGGCTCTGTACCAGACAAAGAGATAAAAGAGAGAATCCACTAGAAGTTTTAGCCTTTTGGTGGGACAAATATAAAAATAAATAAGCTCAGTACAGGAGTATAGAGTGTTAACTTTTTTTAACAGAGACTTATGCAAAGTCTCAGGCCTGGCCCTTGGGAAGAAGTGCCAGGGATATGTGGACACCAAGCATGTCGTTTAGGGGAGAAAGAAGCTAGGCCTGGAATCTTGCTCAAAAGACAATTATCATTTTATTTTATTTAGTTTTATTTTGCTATAGGGCACATGTGCTCACCAGAGAGAGAGAGCGAGAGAAAGTGAAAAATGAACTCCCTAGGGGGGCAGTGCTTTCTTCTTCATTCTCTTCTCTGGATTTTGGGTACACAGCACACACACCCAGCATGTTTTTCCAGCTCCTGGGTCCAGAACTTGAACAACTCAGTCAGCCGTGTGGAATCCAGTAGCCTTAACTACCACACTGCCTGCTGGCTCTAGGACTTGTATTCATTGAAACAATTTTTGTATAACTAAGGTCAACTATATTATAAGGAATATCTATCATTCTAATAAACTTTCGTGTTAATTTGTACATTATCTGCTAGTATCATAAATCAAAATAATCAGAATATACTTCTATCCTTAAGATGACAGGGGACAAGCAGTTGGCGTAATGGCTATGTCGCTGGACTCCCATGTAGTTGACCACGGTTTTATTCCCAGACCTGGTGGCTTAAACTCACACCAGGCACATGTGCATGCATGCCCAAGATCCCAAGAGGAGAATGGAGAAGGGATTGCGGCATGGCCATCCCCCTGGGGAGTGATTTCTCACTTTCTGTCTCTGTCTCTTTCTGTCTTTGTGGCGAGCACACGCACCTTTTAGCAAAAACCTCTCCAAGAAATAATAACAATAATAAAATGAGAAGACAGTGTTTTGAAAAAGGGTCTCTACACTGGTAAAATGGTTTGCCTAGGTCATAGGAGTTAGTAGTCTTTCTGGGTTCTGTGTTGGTTAGATCAGTCTCACTTTGATTAATATCTTTGATTAGTTGGGCCTCCACATTTTAATGGGGATGTTAAAAAGCAGAGCAACTCTAAAAGAGGGTGACCCATTCTTCAAAACCAGCTTACTTGGGGGTCGCCTTGGTTATGATGCCTTCCCCTCTTTCTGTGCCTTTGCTATTGTCAGTCCCAGCTGAGAGCATGTCTCTTACCTCCTCCTACCCTTCCTTCCTGTTCATCCTCCCAGCCTCCCTGTTTACCTAGCTGACTCCCCATCTTTCTTCAGGATTCCAGCTTCCCTGTTAACCTAGCTAACTCCTGATCATTCTTCAGGATCATTCTTCGGCATCCATTCTTAAGTGCCTTTTTTCTTTTTTATGTATTTACTTATTTATTTATTTTTGAGAAAGAATTTTTTGCTATACAGTGCATGTGCTTGCTGGAGAGAGAGACAGAAGGCAAGAAATTCCCCCCCGGGGGAATGGCCATACCACAATCCCTTCTCCTCCATTCTTTTCTTGGGATTTTGGGCATGCTTGCACACATGCCCGGCACGAGTTTCAAGCCTCCGGTCCAGGATTCACACTGCGATCAGCCATGTGAGAGAGAGTCCAACTACGTAACCAGTATACCATCTGCTGGCCCCTTAAGTGCCTCTTTTAGGAGCTTTGTGGCAAAAACTGGGGCAAACACCAAATATATATTTTTCCTACCTCACAATCATATATCATTCAACTGGTATATCACATATTTTGGGGGTTGAAAGGCATTGGTGACAATATAGGCAGACAACCTGCTTTTAGGAACTTGCTAACTAGTGAAAGATAGATCCCTATGTAAATTATCTAATTATGAAGTAGTGTATTCTAGGCATCTTTCAAAAATCATAAAGTATAAAAGCAATTCATAGGAATACTTCTGACTGAAATAATCAAGAGAGACTACATAGAAGAGGCATACAAAAACAGCTTCAGACTCAAGAAGAATTCTGAGAGTTAGAGATAGGGAGAAAGAGCAGGCTTTCCAGTCAGAGCCAGTAATATAAGAAAAGGCGTAAAGAACAATAAAAATAATGGTAGTAAAAAATATGAACATGGGGGACCAGTAGATGGCGGAATGGTTATGTCGCTGGACTCTCACATAGTCAGCCGCTTTCGAGTCCCAGAATTGGTGGCTTAAAACTCATGCTGGGCGTGGGAACCAGCAGTTAGCGTAATGGCTATGTCGCTGGACTCCCACGTAGTCGACCGCGGTTCGTGTCCCAGACCCGGTGGCTTAAAACTCACGCCGGGCGCGTGTGCGTGCGTGCCCAAGATCCCGAGAGGAGAATGGAGGAGAAGGGATTGCAGCGTGACCATCCCCCCTGGGGGGTGATTTCTCGCTTTCTGTCTCTATGTCTGTCTCTGTCTGTCTGGCGAGCGCACGCGCCCTACAGTGAAAATCTCTCAAAAATAAAATACTCATGCTGGGCGTGTGTGCGTGTATGTCCAAAATCCTAAGAGGAGAATGGAGGAGAAGGGATTGCAGCATGGCCATCCCTCCAGGGGGTGATTTCTCGCTTTCTGTCTCTCCGTCGCTCTCTGTCTCTCTGGCAAGCATACACACCCTGTAGCAAAAGTAAATCTCTCTCTAAAAGAAAAAAGAACATGGAACATGCATTTTATATAATGTTGAGTGATTTTTAAAAAGCAAAATATTGGGACCAGCAGTTAGCGTAATGGCTATGTCGCTGGACTCCCACGTAGTCGACCGCAGTTCGAGTCCCAGACCTGGTGGCTTAAAACTCACGCCAGGCACGTGTGCATGTGTGCCCAAGATCCTGAGTGGAGAATGGAGGAGAAGGGATTGCAGCGTGGCCATCCCCCAAGGGGGGGGGTGATTTCTCGCTTTCTATCTCTCTGTCTGTCTGGCGAGCACACGCACCCTATAGCAAAAACCTCTCAAAAAAAAAAAAAGGCAAAATATTAAATATATGCAATATCTACATATACTATGGGAAAAATATATTAAAACATACTAGAGGGCTGGCCTAGAGATTAAGGGAACTAGATCCCACATGGCCAGCTGCAGTTTGAATCCTGGCCAAACACCTTGAAAAATATGCCAGGCACATGTTAGTGAGTGCCCAGAATCCCTACAAGTGGGAAAATGGAGGAGAAGGGATCGAGGTGTGACCTTACCCCATTGGGGAGGTGCTTTCTCTCTCTCCCCTTCTCTCTGGCAAGTGCATGCAACCTCTGACCAAAAATAAATAAATAAATACTGGAAACAAATACATCACGATAACAATAGTAATTCTATTCAGGTGGTAGAACTAGGGGCATTTTTTTTTTCCTTTTCCCTGTTTTCTCATTTTGTAATTTCATTATATAAATTTGTTTTCTACCTTTTGGTATTTTTATCATACAAGTAAGCCAGGCCCTCCCTGTGCCAAGCAGAAGTCTTCCGATATTTTTTGTACCACAGTCAGTTCCAGCAGGCTCTGTCTCTTCCTCATACAAAAGACTTTCTGGAAGCAGGATTTCAAGCACTGCCTATAACATGGCAGTAACAGATAATAAAAGCTAATATTTGTAGTGTGTGTTCTGTACCAAGCACTGTGCTAAACACAGACCTACTTTATTTCAGCTGGTCTCCAAAACAGTCCTTGGAGATTGATATTATTTCTATTTTATTGGTGTTATTTAGGGAGTTTTTTCAGTAATTTGCCCAAAGTAGGATGACTAGCAAATGACTTGAGCTGAGGTTTACATCTGGGTCTTTTTCAGGTCTGACTCCAGACCCTGAACTCTGAATGACTAATGTCCTGGCTCTCTGAGAATGCCCATAGTTGGCTAGGGAGGTGTGAATTTCAGAGAGAAGAAAAAAAGAAATTGTCTGTCACACAAAAGGCACATCTTGAAAGGAAGGATTAAAAAGGTCACGGAATCAATTTCTCTGACAGGAATTTGTTATTAAGAGTTACAGTTTAATCATCTAGAAGAGTGGATCATATTAAATCTTTTTTGTAATTATGTACTAGTAATAAAAGTATTATGTTGGGTTTTTCCTCCCCATTATCAAATAGCATATTACTCTGAGCAATAAAAGCTGTCACCGTTTCTTCATGCAGGTTGAAAAGATTACCCACGTGTCATGAATACCCTCTCTTTTCTGTGCAGATTTGGCAGCAATATTTTGCAGCAAAAGACACAGTCTACGCAGTTATTCCTGTAAGTAGTTTGGAGGGGAAAATGAAAGTGTTACAGCATGAAGGTCAGTACTCTAACCTTAGCAGGCCATTACCTTTACTTTTCCTGTGTTTGCTGCCACTTGAGAACTTGCATTTTATAGCTCTGAGCGTTTTTATTATGCCCCGAGCACCACAGAGTAGAAGCTCCATATGGTATATTTATGGCTCTTGTTTTCCCTCTTTCTGGTTTAGAAATGTCTCTGAGTCAAGTCTCTGACAAGGGAGCATGGTATAAGTTCATGCTGCTGAGTAATTTCCAGATGTCTTTTCCTTCTTTTTGGTATTTTCTAGCCAAGCTGTTGGAATTTAATCCAAGACCTCTAATGTAGCTTTCTTCCCTTCATGTCTGTTTCAGTGACAGCCTGAACTGACTTAGATCCTTCTCCCACATTTCCCCTTAGCAAGTAGCATTTTTTGGTGTTTCCCTTTTTGAAATTGCTGTCTTTGATGTGATCACCAGCCACTACTTCACCATTAAGGTCTGTGACTGGGAAGGGTTCTGCTGGCTTCTCTGGTTTAATGTCCTTCTGCTGACCTCCACCGTAAGAATGCTTTTGAGTACTGGGTTATCAGCTAGTTCTTTCATTTTCTTCTTCCCAGAGAAAAAGTGGCTTTGGTTAAGTGTATATTAAGCACACAAATGTATGCTGCTCTTTCACAATTAAGTACAAGATTAAGGAAGACAACAGAGATGGAAGGAACTAAAAGCCAGTCCTTTTAGTTGTTGTGAGGGTTTCACTATCATTTTTTGTTTTTGTTTTTGTTCTTTAACCTCTGAAACACTGTTACCCTTAACGGGTTCAACAGCCAAGAGATTATTGCAACTTTTATGATGTTTTAGATCTCTAATACTAACTCATCGTTTGAACAGGTCTCAGCTCTCCCTCAGACTGACTTACAGACCTGATGTCTCTTGTCAGAGTTCCTTGGAGGGTTTGGAGCATTGGACCACCCACTCTTCACACATAGTTCTGACAAAACATCTTTCTGATTTTTCCTGTCTTTCATAAGAGTGGATTTGTAAATGATGGAACTTAAAGGATTGTTTTAGTTGTGTTACAGTTCAGAATTCAGTCTTTGTGAATGTAAATGTGATTATGGCCTTTTATGTTTTCCTATTTCTGAGTTAATGTTAGTATTTTCCAACTTATAGGAAAAGAAGTTTGATTTGATCTGGAACCGGGCTCAATCCTGTCCAACAGTAAGTTTCTGGTGATCATGTAAGGATTGCCTATCAGTGCTGCCAAACAAGGGTGTTTTCCAACCAATCCCATCATATTCTGTACTCTCTCACAGGCTGTAAGTGCTCTGTTTTCTTAATGAAGATGCTCACACGTTGATTGTACTGATAAGTGAGATTCTCAGTCTTGTGAAATCATGTGAATTTGACCCAGTAAGCCTCTGGCTTTTACCTTTCAACTCTGTCTGAGCTCTTTGTGATATGGTTCCTAACCTAACAGTAAATGCATATTGGAAGACATCTGAGACTTTGATCCTTCAACCTCCTTTAAGTTCATGTGGCTTAGGTTTATTGGCAGTTTTTTGTTTGTTTGTTTGCTTGTTTACAGTTTGGGGCATGCTATCCTGGTAATAATGTACCTAAAGGAATTATGAGGTTGTTGCTGGAGTAATGAACTCCCAAAAGACCTAAAAGAAAGAGAATAGGAAGGGTGGGCTAGCTGACTTAGTGTCAGTAATGATTTCCAGGGTTTCAAAAAATTTTCCAAACATTACTGATAGAAAATAAAGAATAGCTAAGCAAATAGAAAGATATATACTGAGGCCAGCAGGTGGCATAAGGGTTAAGATATTAGACTCCCACGTTTCACCGAAGTTGGAGTCTCAGACCCAGTGGCTTGAAACTCACACCGAGTGTATGTACATGCATGCCCAAGATCTTAGGAGAATAGAGGAGAAGGATTTGCTTGGTAGCCATCACCACCAGAGGGTGATTTCTTGCTTTCTGTCTCTCTGTCTCTCTCTGCCTCTCTTATGAGAGTACATACCCTATAGCAAAAATCTCTTAAAAAAATAAAAAGAAAAGAAAGATATATACCATGTTAATGGTTTGAATGACCCAATATTATTAAGATGACAGTTCTCCCCAAACTGATCTCTAGATAACTAAAATCCCAATCAGAATCCCAGTAGGCTTTTTTTCTTTTTTAATTTTTTTATTGCTAGAGGGCACATGTGCTCAGAAAGTGAGAGAAAGCACCCTGCAATGGAGTATGGTCACTCTGTGGTCCTTTTTCTTCCATCCCTCCTTCCCATCAGGATTTTGGCCATGTGCCCAATGTGTTTTTCAAACCACAGGGGCAATGTGGGATCCATCTTATTTATCAGCTGTACTATAGGCAAGAAACTGAAGAGCTGGTATAAAAAAAGTACTTGAATATCCAAAGAACCTAGAACAACTAAGCAGTTTTGAAAAAGGACAGTTGAAAGACTTCAAGTTCCTGATTTCAAGACTTGCTATAAAAATGTAGAAATAAAAACAGTAGTATTGGCATAAAGACAGACCTATAGATCAATGATACAAAATAGGGGGTCTAGAACTAGAGTAGCTTATATGTGCTCAGTTGTTTCATCAAAGTGCCAAGGTAATTAAGTTTGTCTTTTCTTTTTTTCTTATTATTCACATATTAAATCGCTATATATCATTTAGATTGTCAAGAGACTTTACCAACATGATTTATACCTCAGTCCAGCCCAGTCGAGACTATTATACACATCCTTGTCAACAGATAATAAACCTTATCTGTGTCCCACAAGTGTCTTACCTCTACATTTCCCCCCCAAATTTCCTTTCCTATGTTCTTCTCCTCCCACACTCTCTTTCCAGTTTGTCTCTAGTGTCCATTACAATTTTTAATACTTTTACGTTCTCCGGTCATTCAGTCTCTACCATAGAGTGTGGACAGTCAGTATATGTTAAGTGGAGACATACAATGTCTCTCTTTCATAGCCTGACTTGCTTCACTCAGCAACATATCTTCCATATTCATCCACTTTCTATCAAATTCCAGGGTCTTAGTGTTTTTTATGACTGAATAGTATTTCATGGAGTATATATGCCATAATTTTTCAATCCATTCATCAGTTTGTGGACATTTAGTGGTTCCAAGTCTTAGCAATCATGAATAATGCTGCAATGAAAATAGCTGTGCAAGCACTTTTCTGACTGACTGCTCTCCTATCCTTTGGGTAGATACCCAGGAGTGGAATTGCTGGATCGTATGGTAGTTCTATTTGAAGGTCTTTGAGGAACCCCCATATCATCTCCACAGTGGCTGGACCAATTTACATTCCCACCAACAGTGTAGGAGTGTTTCCCTTTCACCACATCTCCTCCAGCACTTACCATTATTTGTTTTTATAATTTTTGCCATTCTGACTGGGGTTAGGTGGTATCTCATTGTGGTTTTGACCTGCATTTCCCTTACAATGAGGGATGTTGAGTATTTTTTCATATGCTTTTTGGCTGTTCGTATGTCTTCCTTAGAGAGTTCTTTATTCAGCTCATTTTCCCATCTTTTAATTGGATTCATCATTTTCTTCCAGGTAAGCTGATTGAGTTCCCTGTGTATTCTAGTTATCACCCCCTTATCTTGTTTAGCTTTTTAAAGAACCAACTTTTGCTTTCATTTATTTTCTGTATAGTTCACTTATTTTCTATTTTATTTATTTCTGCTCAAATCTTTATTATTTCTTTTTTCCTAGCATTTTTTGAAATTTTTTTTGTTCTTTTTCAAATTCCCTGAGGCATGATGTTAGGTTGTCATTTTGCCACCTTTTCATCTTTTTCTTCTGTGCACTAATTGCTACGAACTTCCCTCGTATGACTGCTTTTGCAGTATCCCATAGATTACGGAAACTTGTGTATTCATTATCATTAGTTTCCATGAATCTTTTGATGTCTGTCTTAATCTCTGCTGTAGTTATAGAGTCATTCAGAAGTAGGTTATTTAGTTTCCATATATTTATATATTCTCGAGGGCTTTTCCTGAGGTTAATATAGAGTTTAATTCCATCATGGTCAGAGAAGATGCTGAATATAGTTTCTATGCCTTTGAATCTGTAAAGGCTGGTTTTGTGCCCTATCACATGATCTGTCTTTGAGAAGGTACCATGCGGGACTGAGAAAAATGTATTATTTTGTGCGTTTTTTTTTTTTTTTTAATACTTTTTTTTTTTGTGAGAGATTTTTCACTGTAGGGCACGTGTGCTCGCCAGACAGACAGAGAGACATAGAGACAGAAAGCGAGAAATCACCCCCCAGGGGGGATGGTCACGCCGCAATCCCTTCTCCTCCATTCTCCTCTCGGGATCTTGGGCACGCACGCACACGCGCCCGGCGTGAGTTTTAAGCCACCAGGTCCGGGACCCGAACCACGGTCGACTACGTGGGAGGCCAGCGACATAGCCATTACGCTAACTGCTGGTTCCCTATTTTGTGCGGTTTTTTAGTGGAAAGTTCTATAGATGTCTATCAAGTTCATCTGTTTTATGGTATCATTTAGATCCTGAGTCTTTTTGCTTATTTTTTGTCTCGTTGACCTGTCTAAAGGAGATAATGGGGTGTTGAGATCTCCAACAATTATAGTGTTACAATCTATCTCTCCTTTTAGATCTAGCAGTCTTTTCTTTACATATTTGGATGCTCATAAATTTGGTGCATAGATATTTACAACCATTATATCTTCTTGGTGAATTAGTCCTTTTACTACTATATAATGCCCTTCTTTGTCTTTTTTTATGGTTTTTTGTCTTAAAGTCTATTTTGTCTGAAATCAGTATAGTAACTCCCCCTCTTTTTTGATTTCCATTTACATGGAATATCTTTTTCCAGCCCTTCACTTTTAGTCTATGTATGTCTTTATCCGTGAGATGGGTTTCTTGTAGGCAGCAGATGGAGGGTGCCTGATTTTTAATCCATTCAGCCAGTCTGTGTCTTTTGATCAGAAAATTTAATCCATTGACATTCAATGTTATTGATATTTCCAGACTTGTCCCTACCATTGAGTTGGCCATATTCTTGGTGTTTTTTGTTCTCTTGTGGCTGTCTGTCTCTCTTTCGTTTTCTTGCTTGGTATAGTACTCCTTTCAGAATTTCTTAAAGAGCTGGTCTGGAGTTGATAAATTCTGTCAACTTTTGTTTATCCGAGAACGTTTTTGTTTTCTTTTCCCATATGAAGGATAGTCTTGCCGGGTATAGTATTCTTGGTTGAAATTGTTTTTCATTTAACACTTTGAATATATTTCCCCATTCTTCCCATGCTTGCATTGTTTCCAGTGCAAGGTGTTAGTCTGGTGTTAGTCTGACGGGATAGCCTTTGTAAGTGATTTGACTTTTCTCTCTTGCCAGTCTCAGTATCTTGTCTTGGTCTTTAGGTTTTATCAATCTACCTATAATGTGGCATGGAGAGGATCTTCTTGGATAAATTCTACTTGGGGTTCTTTGTATTTCTTGGGTCTAGATGTTTGAGTGCCTCTCTAGACTTGGTAAGTTTTCTTCCAGGATTTTGTGAAATATATTATCAATACCCTTATTAGTTTCTTCACCTTCTGGGATACCAATTATTCGTATATTTGGGCATTTCATGGTATCTAATATTTCTCATGAATTTTATCCTCAGTTTTCTTGTCTGTTTTCTCATAATAGATAATTTTTTTCTAGGTGATTGATTTTGTCTTCTACTTCCTTTTTTTTTTTTGAGAGGTTTTTGCTATAGGGCACATGTGCTTGCCTGCCAGAAAGACCGAGAGGCAGAAAGCGAGAAATCACTTTCCAGGGGGGATGGCCATGCCGCAATTCCTTCTCCTCCATTCTCCTCTCGGGATCTTGGGCACACACACACATGCGCCCAGCATGAGTTCAAGCCACCAGATCCAGGACTCGAAACATGGTCAACTACATGGGAGTCCAGCAACATAGCCATTATGCTAATTGCTGGTCCCTGGTTTTGCCTTCTACTTCTGAAATTTGATCTTTTGTATGGTCTAGCCTGCTTTTGATATTTTCAAGGGAGATTTTAATTTCCTGTATTATAGTCTTCATGTCTAACAGTTCCGTTTGGTTCTTTTTTCTTTTTTTTTTTGCTATAGGACTCATGCACTCGCCAGAAAGACAGAGACAGAGAGACAGAAAGCAAAAAATCATCCCCCCAAAGTGGGGATGGCCATGCTGCAATCCCTTCTCCTCTACTCTCCTCTCGGGATCTTGGGCATGCACGCAAATGCACCTGATGTGAGTTTAAGCTACCAGGTGTGGGACTTGAACCGCGGTCAGCTACATCAGAGTCCAGCGACATAGCCATTATGCTAACTGCTGGTCCCCATTTGGTTCTTTTTTATGGTGTCCAATTCTTCTTTCATATCATGGAAAGACTTCCTCATCTCTTGGAGTTCAACTTCTCTTTTCTCTTGCGTCTCATAGAATTTTGTTACTACAAATATTCTAAATTCTCTTTCTGACATTTCGGTAATATGCTCTAAATTTTCCCTACTTGGACACAGGTTACATTGTTCCCTTGGTGGAGAAGTACTACTTGATTCTCTCATCCTTGAGGTTCTTCTTCAATTTTTAGTCATTTGGTAATGTATTCACTTCTGGTCAATTTGTTGGAGAGGGATTCTGTGACTGTGACCTCATGTGTTTCTCTCATGCTATTTTCTCCCTTTTACTAAATCCTCAAATGCAGGAATCACAGGAGGAGGTTTACAATCGGATTTGTAAAGGGGAGTTTAACTATTTTTGCAACCACTACAATGATGTGGAAAGAATTCTCTAAAACTCCCAATGCTCAGATGGTTAGCTACTATGCACCTAATCATCTCTAGGCAGAGGGCTGAGAATTAAAACAGAAAAGTAAGGTAAAGAAAAATAAAGTAGTAAATAGAAATAGGGAGAGAAGGTGAAGAAAAAAGAATGAAATTACTAGGGAACCAGCAGTTAGCGTAATGGCTATGTCGCTGGACTCCCATGTAGTCGACCACGGTTCGTGTCCCAGACCCGGTGGCTTAAAACTTACGCCGGGCGCGTGTGTGTGTGCCCAAGATCCCGAGAGGAGAATGGAGGAAAAGGGATTGCGGCATGACCATCCCCCTGGGGGATGATTTCTCACTTTCTGTCTCTAATGTCTCTCTCTGTCTGTCTGGCGAGCACACGCGCCCTATAGCAAAATCTCTCAAAAAAAAAAAAAAAAAAGAATGAAATATTACTAGAAGAAAAAGGGGGAAAAGGGAAAAAATCACTTCACAAAAAATAAAATTGAGATGAAAACCAAAAACAGCGTGGAGGCGCTACACAGGCAAAGGTCAAAAATAGGCAAAGGTGGAGATGCCTAGCAGCTTTCTGTCCTACGTGAGAAAAAACAAACAAACAAACAAAAAAAAAAAAACAGACTAACAAGACTAAGGGCCAAGGAGGGCAGAGAGCTGTTTTTCAAAAAGAGAAAAAAACGTTAGAAGGGCCAGTGGAGAGCAAGAGGGAGCAAAGCAGCTATCCTACCTGGCTGGTGCTGGGTCTGGGACGGGGGACACGAGCTGGGGACACTTTACAGCCAGTGGTGCTAAAACAATTGGATAGCATTGTACAAAAAAATTAACCTCTACCCTTATCTACACTGTAAACAAAAGATAATTCAAAATAGATCATAGATATAAATGTAACTTCTAGAAGAAAATAAAATAAATTTTAGTGATCTTGATTTTGGCAAAGATTTCTTATGTACATCATAAAAACCACAAACTATAAAAGGAAAAAAGTCAGTAAATTAGATTTCATCAAAATTAAAACATTTTATTTGTACACCAGTGTTCACAGCAGCATTAATTACAATAGCCAAAAGGTAGAAGAAATCCAAGTTATTTTAGAAACTCCTATAACTCAGTAGTAAGAGGACAGACAACCTGATTAAAAACATGGGCATGATTTTTTTTTTTTTTTTTGGAGAGGTTTTTGCTATAGGATGAATACATTTGCCAGAAAGACAGAGAAAAACAGAGAGACAGAAAGTAAGATATCATCCCCAGAGGGGATGGCCACGCTGCAATCCCTTCTCCTCCATTCTTCTCTTGGGATCTTGGGCATGCATGCACACATGTCTGCCATGAGTTTAAGTCACTGGATCTGGGACTCTAACCTCAGTTGACTGCATGGGAGTCCAGCAACATAGCCATTACACTAATTGCTGGTCCCATGGACACGATTTGAACAGAGAGCTCATCAGAGATGTAGAGTGGCAGATTAACCCCTGAAAAGATGCTTGACATCATTAGTGATAATGGGATTGCAAACTAAAACCATACGAGGTACCACTAAACTGCGTAAAATTTTTAAAACTGATCATACCAATAGTTGGTATTTGCCTATGAATTTCATAATTGAAATAAATGTTTAAAAAAAACAAATTGGGGGGAACCAGTAGTTAGTGTAATGGCTATGTCGCCAGACTCCCACGTAGTCGACCACAGTTCGTGTCCCAGACCCGGTGGCTTAAAACTCATGCCGGGCGCGTGTGCGTGTGTGCCCAAGATCCGGAGAGGAGAATGAAGGAGAAGGGATTGCAGAGTGACCATCCCCCCTGGGGAGTGATTTCTCACTTTCTGTCTCTCTGTCTGTCTGGTGAGCACATGCGCCCTATAGCGAAAAACCTCTCAAAAAAAAAAAAAAAAACAAATTGGGCTAGCCTGTGGCCTGGTTAAGGTGCTTGGATCCTACATGGCCAAGCACGTAGCCTGAGTCCCAGATTCAGTGGCTTGAAAAACATCTGTGTGGTGTGCCCAAAATCTCAAAAGGAGGGAGAGATGGAGAAGAAGGGATTATAGCATGACCATGTCCCTTGTGGGAGTAGGGGGCCTTTCTCTCTTTCTCACTCTCCACCCAAAGCCCCCACCACCACCACCACCACCATTCCCAGAGAGCACATGTACCCTCTGACAAAATTAAAAAAAAAAAAAGAAAGAAAGAAAGAAAAAATGAGTGAATGATAGAGATGGTTTGATATACAGTGGAGCAAATGACTCCATTTATTCATCTCTGTCCTTGCATATCTGTTTCCACAGTTTCTGTGTGCACTGCCCAGAAGGGAAGGTTATGAGTTCTTTGTAGGACAATGGACTGGTACTGAACTCCACTTCACTGCACTTATAAATATTCAGGTAGGTGGCTTGTGCCCTTCCCTAGAGGAAAGAGACCTACCCCTTAGTGGGACTAAGAGCACTTGCTGAGGTGTAGGGATACGGGATATCTACTAACTCCCAGCAGCACTTGCTGTGCACTGATGCCGTCACACTTGTATGTTGAGCTAGTTTTCTAGGCCTTGCTTAATACCTAGACATTGGAAAAGACCCCAGAATGCCTTCTCTGACTCTTTCTGGCTCTCTTTTGTCTCTTCCCCACATATAACAAATATAGATGATGAGTTAGTTATCTTTTTAACCCAAGTTATAAGCTCCTTGAGGAAGCCTCTGTGTCTTACCTGTGTTTTATTCAGATCGTATGACTCACCTTTTACCTGTGTTTTACTAATCAACTCAGCACCGTTCAAAGTGCTAGATGAGTAATTTCCATTTAATAAGTTATTTTCTTTGCTTCTTCCTTTTTTTTTAGTTTTTAAATTTTATTCCCAAGTATTAGATTTAAAAGTTGGATTCAAAGCACTTTGAAGCTTTAAAAATAAAAGTCTATGTTTTAAATCAGATCAGAACTAGGATTGGCATTCTATATTTGGAGGATAAATCTGGAAAAACAGCCATGTATTATCTTGGCTTTGAAGTTGGGATAAAGAGAGTGCAAAGTACAATGAGGGAGCAGCTTTTCACTTTGTTATTTTATAATTCATCCAACAATTATGTATTGGCCACAAACTATAGTAACTAACAGTTGATGAACTTACTATGTGCAAAGAGTTTTATTTACCTTATCGTCATTTAATTCTCACAAATATACCACAAGATAGTTACTATTATTGTTTCTATTTACAGTGAAGAAAGTGGGCTCAGAGAAGTTAGTTTATCCTATTATAATAATAAGTGATAGAGCTAAGTTTTAATCTAGGTTATCTGACTCTAAAATCTGACTTAACCATTATGCTAGGACTTGGAGAAATATGAGAAAAAGTTCTTGCTCTCATGAAGCCCACACCCAAGTATAGGAGACTATCCAGAAACATAGTTACAATCAAAACAATTAATATAATAGAATTATGATGAAAACGATCAGTATAATATCAGAAGTATGCTCGAGAGAACTGAGGGGATGAACTAAGAATACGCTAACAATAGTTAAGGATTGGATTGATAACTAAAGGGACTCCTGGTGAAATTTCAGAAGTGCAGCTCAGGGGTCTTTTTTCAAATGTAGCTGTTCCCTCCTACACTGTCTAGGGACTTTAGCTTTGAACCCACCCTCTCCCTAGCCTAGACTCAAGGTCTTATAACTACTGCCCTGACCATTCTTCATGAAATTATGATATTTCCATTCTTCTCCCCACCCTTCCCCCAGATGATATTCTTAAACTGCACATTACAAATCTCGCCCCTGTGCAAACTCCAGCTTTTGCTACAGCTTAAAAGAGCTCAGGCTTCAGAGCCAGCCAAGGGGAGTAGATTTCAGCTGTGAAACACACTAGTCCATAAAAGCGGCCATTACACAAGCACATTGCTTTCTTTAGAACTTGATTTGGTAGCTGCTTGTGCCATTTTGTTTTTAAATGTATGGCCACAATGAAGGATTCACTGCCTACTGTAAACATTTTCTGGGAAAAAAGCCAAAGCTTTTCCAGTTGAAGACACAAATAATACTGCACAAATGTCAGTTTCACTGTGCCTTTGCAGGCCTGACCTTGCCTCCACATACCAGTCCTCCAGCCCACTTGCCACCCAAGGGGCTGTTGAGAGCCAGAATATCCTATAGACCCCCTATGGCTTCAGAATTGCAGTTTGCACTGGTGGTTCCTTATTGAGCCTTGATGAGTGTCTCTCCTTGCAGACTCGAGGGGAAGCTGCTGCCAGCCAGCTGGTTTTATATCACTACCCTGAACTTAAGGAAGAGAAGGGCATAGTGCTAATGACAGCAGAAATGGATCCCACGTTTCTGGTAAGACTCAGCTTTTACCTGTGTGGATTTACTCCAGGGAGAGGGTACCAGCCTTAGAGTCTAGAGGTCTTGTCCTGGCTCTGCTACTGTCTGGCCACATGACCTTGGGCTCGTCCCTGAACCTTGTCTGCTTTGGTTTCCTGCTCTATTAAATGAGAACTCAGTGACCTCTGAGGCTCCATCCAGCTCTAAAATTCTATTAATTTGAAGTAGCCAGCTTTTTTAGAAAAGACTCTTGATTGAAGATTCAGCCTCAGAGATTAGTGCCTGCCTGTGAGAAATGACCTGAAAGTCCCACAGAGAGAATAGAGGTGAAGTGCAGCCTATGTATTTATAAACCCGTCTTCATCATTCTGTAGCTAGACAGAGCACATTTTTGGCAGTCAGTTTTTAGTAGGAATTTTCCATTACCTTTTGGGGTTTGATTTTGGCCATATGAGCATAGTCATAATGGATAAGCGCCTCTGACCAGCTAGAACTGCAGACTGTATGAAAAGCAAAAGTAAGAGTTGTTTGAGGTAGTTCTCTGGTAAGGTTCTGAGGTTATGGCCTACATCCCGATCCCACACCCCACCCACCCACGCACTCCTCTCAGTTACATAAAGTGGTCCACTTCCCTGATCCTAAGAGAAGCTTTAGGGATGGTGGCCCCTTCTCTTTGCTAGAGCTGTGCTCGTGTACTATGTAACAGGTTACTCTGAAACCTGGTGACTTAAAGCAACAAACATTTATTACCTCACATTTTCTGTGGATCAGGAATTTGGGAGCAGCTTAACTGGGTGGCTGTGACGTGGAGCCTCAGCAGTTTCCTATCAGGATGTTGGCTAGGGCTACAGCCATCTGAAGGTTGCCTGGGCTTGAGGACCAATCCACTTCCAACCCCACTCATGTAGCTGTTAGCAGAGGCCTCATTTCCTTGTCCCGCTGGCTTTTCCATAGTTCGGCTCGATGTCCTCATGACATAGCAGTTGGCTTTCCCCAGAACAAGTGAGTCAAGACAGATACAAGACAGATGCCACAGTCTTTTTTTTTTAAAGCTGGTTCATTTCTTTCTTTAACTCATATACAATTCCTTGTCCTCTGGGGTTTGTTGAAGCAGTAAGTCAGACAACATTCACAGTAATGTCTGCCAAAGTGGCTGGCCATAAAAATCCCAGCACTACATCCATCTGAAGGGCACTCCGATGAAGAAGGCTAATTTTGCCATTTCCATCCACCTTACAGAACTTCAGGACGGCCAGTTTAACCTTCTTTCTCTTGTGCTCATTCTTTTTGGGAGTGGTGTAAGACTTCTTTTCTTAGCAACACCATGAAGTCTCAATACACAGTGGACTCCTTTTGGATGTTGTAGTTAAACAAAGTATGCCCATCTTTAGCTGCTTGCCAACAAAGAGCAGTCTTTGCTGATCAGGAGGAATTCCTTCCTTATCCTGGATCTTGGCCTTTATATTTTCTATTGTATTTGACCAGGATGATGGTCTTCTTTGTAAGAGTGTTCTGAAAGTCTGCTTGTTGGTGATAGTCCCATGGCAGATCAGAAAGGCTACATTCACAGTCTTCTATGGCTTAGCAGAGGTTGTGCTCTGTCAACTCATCGTAACTGTTTGTTACAAACAAGTCATTGAGTACAGCCCTCACTTGAGGAAAGGCAAACTAGCTCCACCAAAGAAAAGAATATCATAGAATTTGTGGGCAAATTTTAAAACCCTCATAGCTGGCCTCAGTACTCTTTCTGACTGCAGCGATATCAGTAATAGATTTTATTCATATATGCCTGGTTAGTCAAGAACTTAGTACTTACTCACAAACTGGTTCTTAGAGCTGGGTAACTATTGTTCTTTTTTTTTTTAAATACAGTTGTTAAGGAACTGAATTAAGAGGAGAATTGTGAAAGTGTGCATTACTTTAAATAGTGGACATTCACCAGGTGCCACCATGTGCAGGGATAGAAAAAAAAAAAACCAACGTTTATGCTTTTTAGAAATTTGTCTTCCCCTGTCTAGGGAAGACAGACAAAAAAGAAAGAAAGAAAAAAGAAGACACATGCAATGGAATAAATATTTATGGTAGTAATAAGCATAGGATGATTCGGTTATACAAGAACAGGTTCCTAACTAAGGCTCAAGAGGCCAGGGAATCAAGGACTCTTTCTAGAAGCAGTGACTGCTGGGTGAGGGCCTCCACTCACTTCTCACGTTGCCTTACAGAACATCGCAGAGGCACAGTGTATCGCCAACCAAGTTCAGCTCTTCTATGCTACGGATCGGAAAGAAACCTTTGGCTTAGTGGAGACCTTTAACTTCAGACCAAATGAGTTCAAATACATGTCTGTCATCGCTGAATTGGAGCAAAGTGGACTGGGAGCACAACTGAAATGTACCCAGAACCAGGATAAGACTTAGCACTGTAAGGGCTGGCCCTTCAAAGAGTCGGCTCAGCCTGGGAAGGGTAGAGCCCACCCACCTCCTTGAACTCAAAAGCACAGCGTCTATGATGAACAGCGTGTGGTGAGCTGCCCTGAATGCTTATTGTAAGCAGTGATTGTAGATATGTGTCCTATTACTTGATATTCAGGAACGAAGGTACCAAGTATTCTGATCATTATTTCTCGGCATATGTGAGGTTTCTCTTTAAGTATTCGATGCCATAGCAAGAGACAGCCTGGACTTACAAGATTATCGACTAGATTTTATACAGTATAACAGTGGAGTTGCATTCTGGCCATTCTGACCTCATAGCTCCCAGATGATCAGTTCTTCATTGTTATGGACTTGTGACAGGATAACAAGCTTGAAGACCTGCTCTTAGGTATGGGCTTTATGTACAGTTCCCACGTGCCGGTGAGCTGGCCAAAGGCATAACCAAATATTCTGTTTAGACTCTAGGAAAACCAGGTATTCCCATCAGGGTAAAGACTTCATCTAGATGCCCCCCAGATTTGCCTTTAGTGTAGTAGATTTAAGGGTGCGGGCGAATTTCGGGTATAGTTAGATAAACAGTATCGTGCCTGCATAGTAATAAACCGGAGCTCATGGCACCTGCTCCACTAGCTCTGCTTATTAGAAACCATGTTGTAAAGGGGGCACATCAGCACAGTGTGAGTAGATTAAAACACTTTCTTAGGGAGAAAATAGACCCAGATTTGCATGATTTTTTAAAAACAACTCTAAGCATTATATGAAAAAGAAACAGATGTTCCCAGATTGAGTATAAGAAAAATGTAGCAATAAGATAAAGTCCATCTTACCATCTTTGTTACACAAAATGGCGAAGTCTACACTACGTGCTGTCCGTAGAGTCAGTGCTGTGGGCTGATGTTATCACAAGTCATCTTAGAACTCAGCAATTACTTGAAATGCCAGAAATAAGAAAGTGGTTCACCAGCACGGAAACTCCACGTTTGTTGTGTGGTGTTCCTGCTGTGGCTCCAAGCTCAGTGGTAGAAGAGGATGGTGGTCACACACCAGCCCTCCGAACCTGAGGCCCCGGGTGCCTTCCAGTGCTGCTGTTGACCACCCTTGCTCTGCCTCCCTCTTCGTGACCTGACATACTCCCCTTTGCCGCTTCTGCCTCAGGTCTGGTTGGATGACGCTGACTGTGGTGAGTGGGAGTTTAAGACTATCGGCAGATTGCGTGTATGTGTGTGTGTACATCTTCTTCGTTACAGAAGATTTTTTTTATAGGATCAGCCTGTCCCCAAGCTTTTTAAATAGGATTAGACTTCTCTTTATTTTTCTTTTCTTTTTCTTTTTTTGCAGCTGTGAGTCTGTGTGTAGAGAAAGACAGGTGGTGGGCACCAAACCTGGGAAAGCTGCTATTTTTCCTACTGCAAATTTTAGACCTGCCTCTGGTCCTGGTGGGTGAGCTTTTAAGGAACTTGGATCTTACTAGCTTTGGCATGTTCCCTAAATGCCCTCTGACCTCCGGGATGCCTTGAGTCCCAGGAATGTTGGGCCTGAGGTGAGGGTGCTCTCGTGGATACCCAGCCAGGTTTGCTTTCCCTCCCTATGATCCAGTTCTTAGCCAGAGCACGTTTCATAATGCTTCCACCAGAGGGTGAGAAAATGATGGGAAAAGGAGTAAGAGACAACTGCTCACCCTATCGCCCTTTGCAGCTTTGCCCCTAATCCCCACTTGCCAAAGAATGATGTATCCATGGATAATTGCATTGGACATGACTAAGTACAGTCTGGAAGTTCTTTTTATTTATCTACTGAGAGAGATCTAACAAAGAACCAAAAGAAAAAATTTGATCAATCAGTTTGTTCCTTGGTGCCAGCACAGGGGACAGGTTTTAGAGTTAAGTGAATCTGGGTTCAGATGTCAGTGTTGCTCTGTAATGTTGAACAAATTGTTTAAACTCTCTAATTCTATTGTTTTCATCTATAAAATGGGGATAATAATATCTACCTCATAGGATTATTGTGAGAATTAGCGTATATGTAGACTACAGGGAACTTAATAAATGTCATCTCCCTCCCCTACTTCCTCTGCCCCACATTAAAGTCTGTGGCCCAGCCATGGTAACATGCGCTGGACGCTGTTGCTCAGCAGGCTGGGGCCACACAGGAGGCCCAGGTTCAAATCCTGGCTCACCCTAAAAGCCACACATGTGGCTACACACCTATAGTCCCAGAACTTGGGAGGCTGAGACAGGAGGACCATGAAATAGTGAAATTCTGTCAAAAAAATTAAATATAAAAAAAAGACTAACAGATTAGCATTACAGATGTCCAGATCATTCTTCATTCCAATTTAAAGAACAATCCTTTTCTCTCCGGTTCTCAAACTTTAAGATGCAGTAAAATCACCTAGAACACTTGAAACTAAGGATTCCTAGTCCTCAAACCCCCAGCCTGCTGAATCGGAATGTTTGCAGAAAGCACTGAGAATCTATGTTTTAATATGTGTCCCAGTGATTAAGATATAGGTAATTAGCTAGCTGCACTTTGAGAACCATTGCCTTATTTATCCTTCATGAAAATGCCCTTTTTCCAGGTCTTTATTTTTTCTGTGGACATAAGCTGGTTCCTCTGGTCTTTGCCTTCCATAGTCATCCCCTTTGCATACTCTAACTATAATATATTTGGTTATTTATGTGTCTCTTTTCTCCCCCAGACTGTGAGCTCCTTAAGGGCCAGGATTTATCTCTATTTCCAGTGCCAATGACATGGCCTGGGCCAACTATTTGTTGACTAAATAAATGATATGAACTTTAACCAAAACATTATCTCATTGTTATATGTGTGCCTATATTTAAATATTCTGGATTTAGGGGAATCTGTTAATATGCATAGATCAAGAACTTTCTGAGTAGGACTATTTGCAAACCAAGATTCCAAATTATACTCAAAGTCTGTGTCTCACCTGATCCACTGGCATAACCCTCATGGACTGTCTATTTGGTGCAACTCGGTAGTTTTTTGCAGAGTACCTATTCCACAACCACTAGGTTAAGCCTGGACACAGGAAGAAGAGTAAGGTGTGACCCTGCTCTTCAGCCCTGTTTCAGCTGCTGCCTGTTTCTCTCTCCCTGAGTCTGTGCCTCACATTGAGCATCAGTCATAGTTTGCATTGTCTTAATCAAAGGATGTTCATTCTGATTCTTCTCCTCTAGCTAGTGTGAAAGCTGGAGCCACATCTTCCAGTTTTTGCATCCTCCACAACTCCGACCTTTTGTTCAGTATGGAGAAAAGATACTAATGCCGACTCCCCTGGTCGTTTGACGTAGCATTGACTCAGCACTTATTCATATGTATGGAGTACCTAGTATATGCTACCCCCTGTTACAGAGAGCTGGGGATGCAGCCATGAAGGGGACAAATAAGGCCTCCGTTCCCTTGTAGTATATATTCTTGTGGAGAAGACATATCAGTAAACCAATAAGATTAGTTCAAATACTGGCTGTGAAAATAAAAATAAAATAGTGTGGGAACCAGCAGTTAGCGTAATGGCTATGTCACTGGACTCCCATGTAGTCGACCACAGTTCAAGTCCCAGACCCGGTGGCTTAAACTCATGCTGGGCACGTGTGCGTGCGTGCCCAAGATCCCAAGAGGAGAATGGAGGAGAAGGGATTGCGGCGTGACCATCCCC